ACAAACTCCAGGAGCACAAGAAGCTTATCTGGCTTGTTCGCTGCTATATTCTCAGCACCAAGACAATTCCCAGGAGCCCAGTGCATAATTAGACACTATGTGTTGAATGGATGTATTGAGACGTGTGAGTTAGTCATGGAATGTTGAAGCTACTGCAGGCCATTCACTTTCCTCCTAGCATGATCCCTGGACATATTAGCTGCTCAACAAATATCCGTGCCTTGTCCTTCGTGTTGTCAGCCACAATCTCTTACATACGAATGAGACCTTTTGGCAATATCCGCGTGGAGTTTGGTGACAGTGACAAATATAAGTACAGATATCAGCAATCGCAATCTCTCTTTCAGACGTGCACATATGTGCCCTTGCTGATAATAATGACAAGTCATTAAAACTGTTTCAAAACAACTCGGGAAGAGCAACTTCCTTGTTATCACTCGTATCTCTACAGATATTGGAATCCAAGTCTTTGTAGAGTTTACATCGTTAACCAGAAATTCATATTTTGTAGTCACTGGCATCACCATTTAACAAACAGGAACTCGACATTTTCAGTATAAGAAATGTGCTTGTGACTCCCTTTTTTCAGTAGAAGAAATTTTTTTAGCATCTGAAAGTAAGGAGAGAATCATAAATAAAAACTTGGGGGGGGGTGGTTGAGGCTCTTTTTTATAAATAGAGTTTGGTGGACATAATTAAATTCATCAAAATTTATACTTTTTTTTGTTCAAGCCAGCTGGCAATGCAGTCTATAGTGAACAAAGAAACCAGTCTTTATTTGCTATAGACCAGGCTACTCAAGGGACTTCCCTGGTGGCTCAGAGGGTAAAGTGTCTGCCTTCAATGCAGGAGGCCTGGGCTTGATCCCTGGGTGGGGAAGATCTCCTAGAGAAGGAAATGGCAACCCACTCTGGTATTCTTGCCTGGAAAACCCCATGGATGGAGAAGCCTGGTGGGCTACAGTCCACGGGGTCGCAAAGAGTCGGACACGGCTGAGCGACTTCACTTCTCACAGGCTACTCAATGTGCGCGTATGTGTCCGTGTCATCTTGAGCAATCACGATTTCTTACGTACACGCAGGGTACGTGGTCTCCAAGGTCCTCCAGTCCTACCCTTCTGGGTGTCTTCAGCTGACGCAGTCCTAACAACTCTGCATTGGATGAAACAATCATGGAATGACGCCCTGATTCGACTCTGTGCAAAAACTTAGGAAAGAATGTATGTCTCTGAACGTTTACCAAGTCCGTAATATTTAAGAACAATGGAACAAGTGGGACAGACGTTGAAAGCAAAACAATTTTCTGTCCCATTGCTTTGACTTTCTTTTAAATACACACATTAATGTGTTCTAAAATGTTATTTTAAAAATCCATGCCAAAGAAGTCATGAAATTTTTTGTGGTTATCATAGGGAATGGATACAAAAAGTGGTGGGTGGGTTGGGGGAGACGATGGTGGAGGGACGGGTTGGAAGGACTGGTAAGCGGTGGTCCAGTGAAACAGGATATAGGTATTAGCTGTGAGGTGTTGGGCACATTCCTTGTCTCTCACCCCAGTTTCCAGCAGCCTCATCTATGACATGAGCATAACACCCTTCCTGCCTACCTCCCACACTTCTGGGGGAGATTCCATTTCTCACAAGTTCACGGAAATGCTTTGAAATGGTAAAATCGACAATGTGCATTTAATCATTGTAATACCGACAAAGGAGGCTAGGGATAAATAACACTGTAGGACATGAACCTTGTGCATAATTCAAATGTACAAAAACATAGTTGATGTTCTCCCACTAAATTCAATGACTGTTTCAAGCCTAAAAACCTTGGCCCTTGTGACAAAACCCTGGTCACTCTTACACCCGGGGTGGAGTGTGACCCCTGGGGTCTGGAGGAGCAGAGGTGAGTATGGGGGGTGGGGTGCCTGGCTCCCAGTGTCCCCCAGATGCCCGTGGGGGTGCATCCTCACAGCGCATCCTCACTGTCGCCCCACCAGTTGCCAGTGACCTATTCTTTCTTTCTGTCTGAGTGGCACCTTAGACCCCATACCCTCGCCGCTGTGTCCACACATCCCTGGAGATATGGGGGTTTCCTGAGAGGCTGTGTAAGGACCCTCTTCCTCTAGTTATCAAATTCTCTCTCTGGGGTCTTCAGATGATAATGGGAGCCATCAGCTCTCATCTGTCACCCAGTTCTAAGACTGTCTCTCAGGTTCCTATTTACTCACAGGAAGGAAACATCTGTCCATATTTGCTGGTCTCTGTACTGGTTCCAGGGAAATGCCTTCCAGGCCCGGAGGAGTCTTCTTCCCTTATAATCCCCTGTGACAGTCTCCTTCCCAGATTCAGCTTTTTCCCAAAGGCTCCATCATTCCTGGAGGCCTTGGGTTTATTTTGCCCGTGATTCCTTCCCTCTCTTCCTCTTTCAATATAATGAGCACAGACTTACCGATTGACATGAAGCGATGGAGACAGGAGTGGAAAATACCGACATGAGCACAGAATGTTCAGTTAGCATTTTATACAACAAAATGTTTTATACAAGTTAATATCCCACTACTGCTACCAACATAATCATGGGTGTGCGTAAACAGAACCAAGTAAGTTGAGTTTGAGTCAGTCCACCCAGCCAAAAAAAAAAAAAAAAAAAAGGTAGAGGTTTCAGATAGTGAAGAAAAGAGAAAATAACATAAGGTCTTTGTAACATGATTCCTTTTTTTTTTTTTTTCAGCAAGTCAGTGCTGCGTGTGGGACCTTAGTTTCTGGACCAGGGATCAAACCCACAACCCCTGCATTGGACGTGTGGATTCTTAACAATTGGATCACCAGAGAAGTCCCCCATGGCCGCTTTCGAATTTACTGGATTCATGGTGAGCAGCATCGCTCTGTCACGTGACTCTCCTGCCTCTCTCCTGCGTCCAAGTCCTTCCCTGAGGCCAGCCTGTAGTCAGAAGGACACACCTGTTTTATGTCCTCGGGTGTTCAGGTGGCCCCAGGTCTGTGACCTGAGAGCTAGCACTCACTGTACCCCCACGGGCGTAAGGAGCAAGTTTCACCCTCCCCCTGACTCCATCCTCACACACCCACTCCAGCCTGTCACTCCTGCTAACCTGTCAGGCTGCGTTTTCAATTACTATCTTTGAAAAATGTCTAGGTGGACCCATTAAATCAATGAATGCAATGAGCTCAACACAAGATAATAGCAATTCTGTGGCCTTCCTTGGGATAATTGGTGATACCAGGGGTGTTAAAAATCTAAGCCTGAAAATCATTGCTTTGAAGGAAGGAAGGACAACTGAGCCATTTTTTCTATTAAAATGCATGAAATTTAAATAATGTCCCCTTTCTTCTGCGTGCCCATCAACCTTCCATTTTTCAGGCACTGAAAAGTCTAAATATTTATTAAGTTCAATTTACAGAATTTATTATAGCTGCCTTCAGCCAGGGCATGTATGTGTTTTAAAAATACTTGGCACTTTAAAAATAGCATCATTTATAAATAATTAGGAAATAATTGTGTTTTATTTTAAAGATACAAGATACTTAGCTCAATGAAAATAACAGGGGAAAAAAAGTGGTTCTTGCTGGTTGACCCCTAGTCAACAGGTTTCTATTCCTTGACTCAGCTGGATACCGCTGGTATCATTCTACGTAGACAAAGCAGAGTTGGTGGCATTTGAGGAAGCGCCAGCTGGCCCACTTTAACTGATCCACTGTCAGAGGGAGCCAAGAAAGTCTCTCCGGGAAGTTTGCTTGTAGCCACGTTCCGGGCTGGTCTGTGAACTCAGAAAGCTGGTTTTGTGTTCTTGTGGAGGTAGATGAGAGCTCATCCTGAGGAGGATCACCTTTTCAGGTGCCAGACTGCAGAGATTTGGGGCTGCGGGGAAGGGGAACTTTGGCCGTAATCTCTATAATCACCCTGCTCATGTTTTGACACAGAGAGAGTTGGAAGTGATACCGTCTCTGTCTTATTTGGAAGGTCTGACAGTGTCAGCCCACTCCTCCCAGCAGATACCTATAAAGATGTTCTGAAATTGCCCGTGTGTGTTTCTTAATGGCCATTTCCCACAAAAGCTGCAAGCGAAGAAGAAGATGCTATGTCTTTCCACCCTGTCCCCTTCATCACTATGCATTGTTATCAGCTAACACAGTTTTTGGAGATAATATTAAGGGGAAAAAGCCAACAAAGGAATGTAATTTGAAATTCCACCATGCAGAGAAAACCACTTTTCCTAGGGAATATAGACCGCTTTCAATTTATGCAATCATCTAGTTTTGAAAGGTCTGGAGTAAATCACATTTCGTAAACATTGAAATGCTTTAGATTTGCTTCCACTACTTTTGTATCAGCACCAGCAGTGTTACCATTCCCTTTTAAAATGATTTTTTTTTTTTTTTACAGAAAAAGACAAGATCTTTAGAACTATTGAACCACCTGTGACCAGCCACAAACTTTGTATGAAGGACGGAGTTTTATTTATTTATTTTTTCTTTTATGCCTTCAAATAGACTGCTAGCCTCGGCCTTATCACCGCAGTGCAGCTGCAATTAGGATGCAGCAAAGCAGAATGGCCCAAACGACAGGGGCCGAGCGGGCGGCTCCTGGGATCCTGGGCAGCAGGACCCGGTGCGGCGGCTGCCGTGGGCTGGCTGGCGCTCCCCACGGCCTGCCTGCGCGCTGGGCTACTCGTGTTGTGCCCTGGGCGTGAGACTGTCCAGTCTCTAGCATGAAATTTCATCCTTTATGGAGTAATTCGCGTGAAACAAGTTTGTGTCCATTCGGTGTCCCGCAACATGGTGAACATTTGTATACTTAACAGTTTTCTGACCAAAAAAAGAATGGATGCATAGTATATATACCACTTGGGAAGTCGCTTTTTTGCTGGCCAACGTCTCTTTGCATCCATCAATAAGCACAGACATCATTGCATCCATCAATAAGCACAGACATCATTAAAAATATTCCGTTGTATGAGTCCACGACAGTTTGTTGAACGGCCTCTAACTAAGTGGGCGTTCGGGCGCTGGCACTGGGCTGTGGTGATGCCTCCGGCCCCCGGGCCGCGTTCCTCGGCGACACGCCTCCGGCTGCGGTCTCAGCCGCGGGGTGAAGCGCCAGGGGCGCAGCCCCGCCGGGGCTGGCGGCCAAGCCCAAGGCCGCACGGGCTGCCCGCTGCCGAAGCGGCCCGGTGGGGAACCGAGCTGGTGAAGAAATGCTCCGACTGCCTGGCCTCCGAGAGGAAAATTCCGGGGGCCTGCCGAGCGATACCATGAGGGCGCAATGCAGGAGACCAGATGTCAGTCCCTCGGTCGGGAAGATCCCCCGGAGAAGGAAATGGCAGCCCACGCCGGTACTCTTGCCTGCGGGATCCCCTGGACAGGGGGGCTGGGCGGGCACAGTCCGTGGGGTCGCAGAGTCGGACGCCGCCGAGAGACGAACGCGTCCGGCTCCAAGAAGGTCGAGTGGAGCGCAGCGCCGGGAACCCAAAGCATCCACCGCATTATAGCTCTCCTGCTTCTAGGGTCATCTTGGAAATAAGCCATCTGTATCCAGTAAGTCCTGCTCTTGGGCTCGGAATCAAAATAGAGACCACGATAAACAGCGACATAAAACGTCCTTAAATGTCCATCTTGGCCATTGACTTATCCTTAGGATAAATTCCTAGAAATGTACACTACTGAATCAAATGGCAAGAACTTTTAAAACCAAGTTCAAACTAGTGCTCTGTGTAACGGGGCTCCTAAGTGTGAGGGAATTGATTTTACTTTATTTGCCTGTGCCTATTCAGTCCCAGAGCTATCATGAAGCCGACTCTTCCATCAGGAAGTGAAGCATTGATAACGAACTTTCTGAAGTCTTGCCTTACGGTGCCCTAAAATCATGATGAATGGAGTAATTGGAATGCACACCCACTGTCTCCCAAATAGACATCTCACTTTATTGCTTGGTAGTTATTAAGAATGAGTAGTAATTTTGCTGCTGAAAAGACTACTTACGGGGAAAGTAAGAAATAAGAAAAACATTCACTCATAATTTAAGCCACAAGGAAATAAAACCAACCACAAGATAAAATATCTGTTTCCCAATCGTTATATCATGGTGGCAGCAAAACTCTTAATTATAGGTAGTGAAGTCTCTGGGTTTTATTTCTTACCCAGCATCAGTGGTAAGAAAAGTATAAAAGTAACTGCTCGGCATCATGCAGAAGGAGCTCTATATGCAGGCATTTACATGGGGGGGACAGCAGAATCCAGTCGCTAGAGAGAGGACCATGGAAAGACAGCGTCAGCGCCAAATTGGATAAGCCACAGCCTTTCCATGAGGAGAACTGCTGAGCATATGTTTGCATGTATAATTTATATAAACACATATGTGATTATTTTTAGAAATAACTGAACTATACATATATCATTTAAAGAGGCAATGTACCTTTCTGACATCTTTCAGAAAGTCTATTTTATTTTGCTTTTGTATTTTTTGGACAGAGAGAAGCTCTATTTGACTTTTGAAGGCAAGTAGTACACAGCATACCAGATTCTAATGTACACTCCCCACCTTCTTCTTCCCCATCTGCATTGTGAAATCTCAGCTCCTCATGAAGTCTATTTTAAAAGGGTATGTAAAATCTTTCTCTTGGCAAACACTAGCAGGTTCCGCCCTCTTGAATGGTTTCCTTAAAAAGAAAAAGAAAAAAAGAAAAAGCCTTCCTTGGCCGTGTTTGCCATCAACATCAATAACTGAGGCAAGGCATTCTGACTGCTATTTATTCTGTCATAATTACTATCACGAAATTTCCATGATTACAGCGCTAGTAATTCTGTTGATTATAAATAGCACTAATGCTGTAATACATCAGCAAAGACTGGCAGCATTATGGAGACGTGGTCCATATGCACATGGATAGTTGGACTTTGGAGGATTATAATTGAAACATTTCCCAGAAAGCGTTATCCCCACATGGCCTCACTTTCCAATCGCTCCAGTAAACGCTTCCTTTCAACGTTACTAGCCTGCTCCCTGCTCGGGGTCTCTGGCCTTCTCCAACGTCCTTCATGCAGTCTGGGCTGTGCTTTGTATTCAAAAGATAATCCCTTGATAGTATATGGGCCTAGTAATGTCTTGGTTTCCTGCGTTTGCTAAAAGCAAGGGCAGTGGATTGTGAAAGCATATCAGACCCAGTTCTAATTCTGTTTTAACAGCAACGTATCTTCCTTTTGGCAAGAGGTTTATTGAATGAATTCTTGGAGCGTTGGACCCTTCTCTGTGTGACGTTCATTTGGTTTCTGTTTGAGGAGGGAGGGCAACGGGCACAAGTGGACTTGTACTCAAAATACCCATGTGTCGCGGAGGGACTCTGCATTTACTCTACAATTTCAGTTTTCAGAGTCTTTGCAAAGGGTCACCTGGGCACAGAGAACTCCCCTGTGGAATGATGTGTTTCCACCTTCCCTGAAGCATACTCCTCTCTGAGGAATGATGCTTTCATTTAAAATGGTGTGTACCGAATAAAGCTGACAAATTTCCTGTTTTCAGCTGTCTACCTAGTTCTTGAGGGCACTTTTTTTTTTTTTAACATAAATCTTCCTTTCTTGATTCAGAACTAGAAAAATGTATAATGCAGCAGTAACATTTATTAACAAAGGAAGTATGTTTTTGGCAAATCTCTGGTTCATGGCATGAATGTGTATGAGTCTGTGTATATAAAAACTCCTTTGATTCATCTTAAGGTGAGTTAAAAAAAAACAGAACTATACAAATTAGTATGCTGGTAATCAAGGCTACAGTTTGATATTTTATGAGGTCATTTTCTGCTCATATTTGGATTCAATGGCCTTACATCTAGAAGTTTTCAAGGATAATAAAAATTCCAAATATTCTGTTCTGTTGTTAGATCATTTGTCCTGATTTGAAGGTACAGAAAAGATGCCACCTTAGGTAAGAACTGAAGACAAGATAATTGTAAAACATGATGAAAAATACACAGACTGTAGGAACTCTTATCCCAACCTTTCTTTCAAAATATGTGTTTGTTCTACTTGAAAGAATTTTGAAGCAAATAAATCTTTTGTCTCCTGAGTTTATTTCAAATTAAATTTCTATTCTGCCTAAACTTCTAAACAGGTATATGTAGACCCCAAATAGTTGCAAACACTGAAGTATATTGACAACTAGCTGTCATGTGCAGACCCAATTTAAACAAAAAGTGGTAGATTTTCAGTCTGCAATTCTATTTTGAAAGGAAGCCAACCCCATTGTGCTTCGTACTCACAAATAAGTCCTAGCTTATTTGTAGCATAAATTTATCGTCTTAACAAATAAAATCAATCTTCCTACCTTACTTGACGGTTCCCCAAACAGAATAGAGGCCCTCCGGCAAGATTGCTGAACATTTTCTAAATAGCCAAGACTTCAGATTCTTGCATTAATTGCTACAAATGTCAGGTAGAGAGATTCTAATTTGCATTTTTCTTAGACCTACTATAACTATGAAAAGGCTCTTGATGAGGCTCAGAAATTTGGATGAAAAATAGAGTAGAATATATCCAATGACTCCAATGGCTGCTTGGGTCCCCAGGCCAAGGCAATGAGTTGGTTTTTATTTCATACCTTCTCTGAGTGAAGATCACATGATTTAAAAGAAGGATGTATTATATTGATTCCAATGCTTCCAGAATATTTATGTATCCCTAGAGAAAAGAGGAGGAGAAAGAGCTTTTTTGAGAGTCGCATGGCGCTCACTTTTTTTTTAATTTGAGGCGCACTTGCTCTGTGTAGGGCTCATCTTCAAATCCGAATGACCATGAGGAGATTTGATTACAAATTTAAACACCCCAGAAGGCACAGCCTGCCCAGAAGGTAGGCAGGTCAGGCTGTTTCCCCCAACACACACACACTCTGGTTCGCCTCAATCCTCTGGTGGCTCAGATACAGCTTAAACATGATTAAACTTTAGAACAAGATGCCAAGAGGATTGTGAAATCTTCATCCCTAAAATTAGGAGTGACCATCACTTGGCTCAGATGGTTTATGAAGACAAAGGTTTGAGCTGGATTAGTAATTTCTAAATGCTGGTCCCTGTCCCCATGCCAGACCACTATGAGAACACCATTCCTCAGCAAAAATGAGCAAAATGAATAATATATCATGCTTTTCCATAAGTTAAATTTGTTCCTTTTTAATTATAGATTTTATCTGTAATAGAACTCCCTTTGTTTGTAACATCACATTGTTGTTGGTAGCTAGAAATTAATTTTTCCATGCTTTAGCTTAGAAAAGTAAAAAGTCGTCAGCTCCATATCAATTCCAGTTTCCTTTTAAATGTTTTAATGGGCCTTGAAATCCAAAATTCTGCTAACCACTGGTCTAGATAATCTTCATTCAACAAATGTTCCTTCATCTGCCTGCTCTTACGTCATACAAAGGAAAAATAATAACTTTGTCCCATAGGAGAATGAAAATACTAAAATCAACTAATACTCATTGTACATGACACCATGATAAGTGCTCTAGGTACATTATTTTATTTAATTTTTGCAATACTCTGCAGACAAAGATACTCAAACAAAAGCAGTGGAAGTGGGATTAGCACCAGTCACCTCTGGCATTGGATCCCGTAACTGACCTGTTTTTGTTCTTATTCTCCTAAGAAAACAAACTATTAATGGTACTTGCAGGAAGGTAGCATGTACCCTCTGCAGGAAGCAGAGAAACACGTGAAAGTTTTAAATGTATTGCTTTTTATGAAACCAAAGCTTGAGCAGTGAGGTAGGTAAAAACAAAAGAAAAGGGTGGATATTATAAAAATTAGTAGAATGTTTTGATGTAGGGAACCCTTTCAATCAGTCAGTTTTCAATAATCAGAGACCATGTGTCCAGAAGGCCTGATCTTCCCATCTCAGCTTCATGAGGCATCTGCTTTCATCTCCTAAATTCATGTGAGCACTTCTGCATATGCTGAAGCACCAGACAAGATACGAACAGGAATTGGCATCTAGCTCATTGTGAAGACCAATTATAGAATAGAAAAATAGTAATTTTCTTTTGATCAAGCCACTTTTACATTAATTGCAAATTCAAGATCAAGAACAGGAAGGCAGGTATATGCCAAAGTCATTGGAAACTGCTAATACACCCAATCCATAAGTCACAAAGCCCTAAACTGGATGAGTTAAATCATCATTTTCATGCTACTTTTCATATGTAGAGTGAGATGCCATAGTTAGGGTCTGTGACCCCTAGAAGATCATCAGGTAGCTGTTACTATCGACTGA